CCGGAGAAAAATGCCGCCCGGTGGCCGAGGATCGAACCGCGACCGGCTGCGTCGCAGCGGAAGAGTCAGACCACTCGGTCACCTCGTCCCCCTAAAATGAAATTGTTTCCACTCTAAACTCAACTTCACTTATAGGTGATTGTGGAGGAGGGGGAGGGCGTGGAGATCGTCGACGTCCTGATGGAGGAAGAGGATGACACGGAAGTCGTCGAAGTCCAGGTGGTGGACTGGGGGGAGGCCATGGAAGTCGTCGAAGTCCTGGTGAACGACGAGGACGAAGGCGTGGAAGTGGTCGAAGTTCGGATGGACGAAGCTCGAGCAGAACTCGAGTTTTCCGACGTGCTCGACGTCGTGCAGCTAGACGTCGACGAAGAGGTCAGTAAATAGGTCTTATTTATTACGAAACATAGAAAAAAAATTATAATATATTGAATTACAGTTCGGACCGATTCCAGCGGCGGTTCTGGTGGAACGTCCCGGAGAGCGCGCGCCCATGATCAACCGGCCAGCGGGAGTGACACACCCGCTTCCAGAGCGTCAACACGTGGACGCGTTGACTGCTGTCTGTCAGCACTGTGACGCCCGTCACTTCCCCGACGAGCTTACGACCTGGGTCACTTCTCCGCGTGCTGTAACAATGGCCAAGTGACTGCTACAGGTCACCGTGTATTGTTTCCTGCCCCGTATCTGTGGACGAATTTGTTGATTTCCGATTCACAGGACAGCCGTAGATACCTAGCGGTCATCCGTCGGTATAACAACGCTCTGGCATTCGCAGCGTTTACCAACAGCGTAAGCCCCAGACGTTTGCCAGGGCGAGGATCGACGGTGTTCACGCTCCAGGGACAAGCGTATTATCGGACCAACGACATTGGCTTTTAGGTAAGAAAAATCAATCAAAAACTATTGTGTTTACTTACATATATTAAAATACCCAAAGCATTATTTGCCATACTGTATCTGATAAACTAATTGTATTATAGTCCGTTCCACGAGAGATCATGCCTGTTCTGCGCATGTAGAATGAAACTCGTCGCCAGCGCCCAGCGGCGGTCGGCTTGATCCGTTGTATCCCCTCCATGCGTCTACATTTCGACCGACGCGTGCAGTATATACACCGCGCTTCGTTATTTAATTTTAAAATTGTTCACACTTCGTGCTCAAGTAGCATATATTTTAATAGTAAAAAAAACATTTTTTTTTAGACTAGGTTTTTAAATATTGGTTATTTATTAAATACAAAACAAATAATGATGATGAGATAAAAGAATTATACTTACTTAAGTCAAATGTACAATTTTACTTTGTGCTAAACTGACAAAATCATTAAAAAAAAAAATAATTTACAATAATACAATTTTATTTACAGTATAATATGTACAATAATAATAATAAATTCTCAATCTGAATATTCTTCTGATTCGGAATTTGATGTGTCACCACAACTCATCACAAGTGAACCCATCCTCTCTAAGAGGTCGTCTACAACAAAATCAATTTCCCAAAATCGTGCTTCTTCCTTCTGAGTGTGGTGCACAAAGTTTTTCCACATTTCAGGTGTGCATTTTTCCACTTCCTCGTGTAGTAGTTTGTGGACATCGGCAAGTTTAAATGTACTATTTTTCATTTTCACGTGTTTTTTTACGAATGCCCACGCCAACTCAATTGGATTGAGTTCGCAATGGTAAGGAGGTAAACGTAATACTTCCTTACCGTGCAATTGTACGTACTCATCAATCATATAACTATTATATTGCGGTTTAATTTTATTTACTAATTCCATAAGACGAGGTTTATTAATTGGCCTTACAAAAGTTTCACCCTTCTCTTCCAACCACTTTTCTATGTCACATTTATTCCAAGCTAATGTATGTCATTTTTCGGATTTGACTGAATGATAAGAGGCATTATCCATGACTATTATACAATTATCATCGAGTAATGGTAATACGTTTTTCAACCAATCGAAATATGTATCGCCATTCATTTCGTCATGGTAGTCTAACGAATTTGTTTTCGATTCGAATGACAATAAGCCCCCGTGTACAGTGGCGGCGCTAGGCGTGGGCGAAGTGGGCCATTGCCCACGGCCTCGCACCTCAAAGGGCCTCGCGTTCCAAAGGGACTTATAATTAACCATAGAAAAATATGGGAGAAGTATCTATACAAAAATTTTTGTATCCATGAAATTATTTTATTGTAAAAAAAAATCATAAACATAAATGTTATATTTCGTCATATTTAGTCATTACTAAAAGTACCAGATCACACTATGCGTTTTGTCGGTTGCCGATCGGCAAACGACCGCGACTATTCTATAATTAACATATAAACCGCGTTATCGGGGCCAGACTGACCGATTCGGCGAACCGATTTTATATAAACTCGATAACGTAATTTCATTTTGACAGTTCACAGTTGTTGTTAGTTCAATTGGTTGTGTTTTATCCTCATTTCTGTATCGATCGATTACCGAAAATTATATTCAATTTAATAATATTTAACGAAGCAAAAATCAT